GTATCTGTTATCTCACAGAAATATTGCTATTCCAGTATTTGTCCAGAGACATAACGAAACTAAAATACAGGCTGAAAATGACAAAACCAGAAAGTGAAATTTCAAATTAGCATGCTGTATTAAGTGTGACATTATTGTACGGTGTATACAGGATATATTGAAGGAGTACACAGTAAGGTGGAAAAATTCTTTGATCATGTGAACTGTGTTTATATTTTCATAAAAGTAACTAGAATGTAACATTCTGTTAAAGTGGACCTGAAGTTGATAGGTTGGTTACCTTCAGTATTATATAGTACTTTTTTCATAACGAAAATGCAGTTCGGTTTAAGGCAGAGCATGTATGATACTTCCGTTCCTTTATTTGATTTTTTTCATCAAAAAATCCTCTCCTCCACCCACCCCACCCCCCCAATAAAAAAACAAACCAAACCAAAAGCTCCAAACCCTAAAATAGTCTGAGATGTTCTACCTGGATAGTTATTTCCCCTTTAAATTTATCTAACCATTTGCCTGCATTTGAAATTTGTTTTATTGGCATTTGACTAAATAATCTGTAGTTGCTTAGATCACTTTTAATATTTTAAAACATTTGCTAATCTTCAAACTAATGGTTGAAAACCTACATTTAAAGATATCTTAAGTACCATTTTCTGGATTGGAGATTTCCTGTGCCATTATCTCTGTGGTCTGTTATGGAAATTAGCTACAGTCTTCGTATTCGGTGTACTAAGTTCTTGCAATTTCTGCTGTAAACAGGAAATTTCTGTGTTTCCACCTCTATTCCAACAAGCCAGCCTGTCTATCCCTTCTTACTGAAAACTGAGACAGGGGACACATTTCAATTTTGAACCATTTTGAACATTTTCTTTACAAGGTAGTATTCTCTTGTGCTTTTTCATTTACTTGGCTAGCAAAGATTTTAATTTGCTTATTATTGTGTTCTGCTAAAGAGCTAACTTATGACTATAAAGAGCCAGATACAAAGTGTCCAGGTACTGAATAAGTGTTAGCACCCAAAACAGAAGTCAGCTTGATGAGGGGCTTGATTTCCATTTAAACACCTCAGTAAAGAGCCAGTGCTTGAAAAATTATGAGCATTTACCAAAAGCAATTACAGTGTTTGATGCTAATCTGTCTTAAAATGTCTCTTCTCACTTTAGGAATAATTTTTAATCTTTAATAATTTTGGAGGCTTCATGTACAGTACGGTACAATATTTTCTTACCATATAAATAGGGATTTTTGATAAACTCTGCTAATCTGTTCATTTGCTACTCTCTTTTTTCCCTTAATTATTTTAGTTTGTATGCTGCTGTGCTGTTAGTTATTGATTTGTTTTTATTTGTCTTCTATTTTTTCTTACAAGGTGTGTTTTGTTATTACTTTTGCACTTGAATGTTTTCCCTTATTCATCAAGTTAGTTTTTTTCTCTTGGGCTTGATTGTAGCATTAATCTTTGTTGCTTGAGTTCTAAGGAGTGTAAAATTCTTGAATTCAAACGTGCTGTTCCCTTTTCTGAAGCTCTCTGCAGTGTTTAACTCATATTATATCCCTGTGTATTTGATTAGTATTTGCATTTGTTCAAGGAATTAATTATATGATAATTACAGACAATTATTTGCTGCAATTATCTTCCATATGTCAGTTTTAAAATACTATTTTATACTGAACATCTCTTAAGATTTGCTTCAAATGTATTTATCGTTTTATTCCATCAATTATATCTTCTTTATATCACCCAGAGTTTGCAGTTTCTTATAGCTGAAAATGGCACTTCTTGCATACAAGGTAAATGATAGCAGTTTGATTTCTCTTTTCTTGTAATTGTATCAGGAAGCACTGAACAGCACTGTCTTTGGACTGCATAGATCAAAAAGGATAAAATATGCTTTTTGATGACATCCTCACAAGATTCTCATTACTTCTTCAAAGAGAGGCGGGGAGACCAGCTATTTTGTTCACACGGTTTTTACTTTCCTTTAGCCGCACTGGAAGAGCTGTCTTCCCTCTGACCCCTCTCTGCATACCTAATCAACAGAAAGGTTTATGTATTGACTTTTAAATAGGGTAGAACATATCTTCTGTTTGAAGGCTGCAGAGATCTACTGACCCTATTGATCCTGCAGAAGGTCTATTGATAGTACTCACTGGCACAGGCTGCCCAGAGAGGTTGTGGAGTCTCCCACTCTGGAGACATTCAAAACCCGCCTGGACGCTGTCCTGTGCAATCTGTTGTAAGTGCCCCTGCTCTGGCAGGGGGGTTGGACTAGATGATCTCCAGAGGTCCCTTCCAACCCTAACCATTCTGTGATTCTGTGATACTGTAGTACTCATGTTCAGAATTAATAAAGAGCAACATTGAGCCACTGGAAGATGATATTGGGCATAGTTCTGCTCTGGTGACCCCTTCATCATCCTCTCTGTGATACTCACATTTGTACGCCAAGCACTGTGGTTATTTCACTGGAGGCCTAAACCCCATGTTTACTTAAATCTAAGAAAAAAAAAAAAAGCCTACATTTACAGCTTTCAGGTAGTTTTTCCATAGTGTAAGGAAGAGAAAAAGATCTTTGATGCATTTCCTTACATTACATTTCATAGAATCATAGAATTGTCTAGGTTGAAAGAGACCCTTGTGGTCATCGAGTCCAACCATCTACCCTACTCTACAAAGTTCTCCCCTACACCACATCCCGCAACACCACATCTAAACGGCTCTTAAACACATCCAGGGATGGTGACCCAACCACCTCCCTGGGCAGCCTATTCCAATGCCCAACCACTCTTTCTGTGAAAAATTCTTTCCTAATGTTCAGTCTAAATCTACCCTGTTGGAGCTTGAAGCCATTCCTTCTTGGTCTGTCATTAATTACCTGTAAGAAGAGACCAGCACCAACCTCTCTACAGTGTCCTTTCAAATAGTTGTAGAGAGTGATGAGGTCTCCCCTCAGCCTCCTCCTCCTCAAACTAAACAGTCCCAGCTCCTTCAACAGCTCTTCATATGATTTATTTGCTAGGCCCTTCACCAGCTTCGTTGCCCTCCTCTTCACTCGCTCCAGCACCTCGATCTCTCTCTTGTATTGAGGT